CAAAAACCATAAAAGTGTTACATTTTCCCGGCACTCCCTACTTTGTAATTCAGGGGGTGTTTCTGCAAGGATACAGTGAATCATACATCATTTATCTGTAAAAACCAGCTTAACTTATTCAAATTCTGTATTTTCTCACAGAAATACCAGACTTGATACTGCAGTCCACCTGCTTTGGTCATGTAAGTGTGTGTTGTTTTTTCATTTTATGCTTTACATTTTTCATGGTTGCTTTGTTAGTGAAGTGGGACGTTGCCAGATTCCTCTTTTTCAACCTTATTTTGTGTTCTTATTTTGCATTTGAAAGGACCACCCATTGGGCTCAGAGGAGAGAGATTCCCTGCACACCGTCTCCTTGGAATATTAATGGGCTTTTCCTGGGAAAACTGCCCACAGAATGGGCCACTCCATCGCTGTCTCTGTTTCCGCTCAGCTGTCCTGAGGGTGCGTGAGGGTGTTCGGTATAATCCGGTCTGGAGAAACCTCAAGTACACCTCAAACTTTTGTTTTGATGTTTCATTAAGAGCTCTTGAATGTTTCTTTTTCCACCCCCCAGAATGTCAGTAAAATATATTACCGCTTTTATTACACAATAAAAAGCACAGGAACGGCTACATTTATTATGTCAAATTCCTCAGTCTCTATTTTATAACCATAATCAATAATAAGACATATTGATGGAAATGAGGGGGCCATTAGCACATCGGGGATTTGGGAACAGATCGTTCGAGCATTGAGAGAGGTGACAGTGATGCCGATCACCACTGGTTTTCATCACCAGAGCTGCATAGTTCTTTCCCACTCGATGGCAGAAGCCGAGACATCTCATCTGTTTCGGCGTTATGAGAGTGACCATTCTAATGGCTTCTACAGATGGCAGAACTCACTGAAGTCATTGCTCTTTTCCTTCAATCCCTTTCACATTCTTTATCTGTATTTGACTCTCTGTCACTTGCTTTCAGTCATTCCACTATTTCCTCTGCCCCAGTCTGGGTCTCTGAGGTGAGCGATGAGTTTTTGCCATTTTTTGGCACATTTATGTGAAGAATCCGGTTTTTACCAGCCTGACAAGCTGTGAATAAAATAAGATGAAGATTATAAAGATTATAAAGATTGTAAATGGCAGGGAAGGGTAATTACAAATAAAGTTAGAATGCCAGGGAATAATACTAATACTAAATAAATCGTAGGATGTGACCTCGGGCATCTATTCAACGAGGGAGTCCGGCCACACCAAACTGAACTGTGAACTTGCAACTTCCCGTGCTGTAGGCGTCTGTTGCTAGGAAACAATTGGCCCACTCCGTCAATTTCAGCTGGGGTGAAATGCAAGTGTTTTTCTTCACTTTTTTCTATGAGCTTTGGCTGGCCATCTTTTATTGATGTACAGTTTCCTTTGAGTCGCAATGAGACTTTCTGTGGGCAAGGACACTTTCAAAAGAGAGGAAATGGGGGTGTGTTCGGAGGTCAAATAGTCCCTTTTGTGGGGCTCCTGGGGGACAATGACAGTGGGTTGATGCTATGTGGGGGCGAAGGGGTGAGATCCTTTGGGTATAGCAGGTCTGGGGAGGGGAGATGCTGCATGCTGCCAGAGCCCATGTGGAAAAGTCCAGTACGATAATACGGCAGAGACCGAGAGAGATCATACATTTTTAACCAAGCATCGTACTGTATTCTTTTTAGCGCAGCATAAGCAAACAAGCTCACCCCAGGGGCTGAAATTTGAATAAGCAAATTCTTGCTTCTGATGTTTTTAATGAGTTCAGTGCAGATGCAACAGAGTAGACTGGCTTTTTATGGCAATGAAAAATGAGGCCACAAAATAATTACTTACCCTGTCAATAGAATATTTTCTTGTTTACAGGAGAGCAGGGAAGACTCTATGCACTTACCCTCTGGTATGTGCAAGTACAATTCAATGCTCTGTTCATCCCCAAAACATTTTGGTAACACTTTACAATACAATAAGAATTCATTAATTAATAGTTACCATGAAATGCTTAGAAATCTTAGTTCATGTCAATTTCAACATTTAATAATACATTTTTAAAATCAAAAGTTGCATCTGTTAATATTATTTTATAGACCTGAGCTAATTTGAACTAACAATGAACAGCTATATTATATGTTGTGTATATATACATATTATATATACAAACATTATGTATATATATTAGTGCTGTCAAACGATTAATCGCATCCAAAATCTAAAAAAAGTTTTTGTTTACATAATATATGTGTGTGTACTGTGTATATTTATTATGTATATATAAATACACACACATGCATGTATATATTTAAGAAAAATAAGTTGTTTATATTTTAAATATATTTATATATATATAATATAAATTATATGAATATAAATATATGCATGTAAATATTTTCAAAATAGGTACTGTATGTGTGTGTATTTATATATACATAATAAACATACGCAGTACACACACATATATATTATGTCAACAAAAACTTTTATTTTGGATGTGATTAATTGCGATTAATCGTTTGGCAGCACTATATATTATACAGTAGTCTTTTGTTTGCGTCATGGATTATGGCTGTATTGATGCAGACTGTGTGGTGGT